TTTTTTTTTTTGCCTGTGGATGTCCAGTTGTTTTAGTACCATTTGTTGAAAAGACCGTTGTCCCCCCATTGTTTGCCTTTGATCCTTTGTCACAGACCGGTTGGCTGTAATTATGTGAGTCTGTTCCATTGATCTATTTGTCTGTACTTTTGCCAATACCACACTGTTTTGATTACTCTAGCTTTATAGTACATCTTTTTTTTTCTTTATTGATTTTAGAGAGAGAGGAAGTGAGAGGGAAAGATAAAAACATCGATGAGAGAGAACATCGATTGCATGCCTCCTGCATGCCCCCCACTGGGGATTTGGCTCACAACCTGGGCATGTGCCCTGACCGGGAATTGACCATTTGGTGCATGGGTCGACACCAACCATTGGGCAACACTGGCCAGGCTATAGTAAGTCTTGAAATTGGGTAGTGTCAGTCCAACTTTGTTCTTGTTCTTCAATATTGTGTTAGCTGTTTTGGGTCTTTGCCTCTCCTTATAAACTTGTTAATATCCACAAAATAAGTTTCTGGGATTTTGATTGGAATTACATTAGATCTATAGATCAAGTTGGGAAGAACTTTTTCATTTTTTCTTTTTATCCTCACCCGAGGACATTTTTCCATTTTTTGTTCAGATAGAGTAGGAGGGAGAGAGAGGAAGAGAGAGAGAAAGAGAAACATCAATGTGAAAGGGACACATTGAGTGGCTGCCTCCCACCCCGACCCAACCAGGGCCCGGGACAAACCACAACCGAGGTACCTGCCTTTAGCGGGGACCAAACCCGGGTCTCTCTGGACCGCAGGCCGATGCTCTAACCACTGAGCCAAACCGGCCAGGGCTTATTTTATTTTTAAAAAATATTTTTTCTTTAGCCCTGGCCGGTTTGGCTCAGCAGTTAGAGCGTCGGCCCGCGGACCAGAGAGTCCTCGGTTTGGTTCCCGCTGAGGGCATGTGCCTCGGCTGCAGTTTGTCCCCAGCCACAGTTGGGGTCATGTGGGTGGCTGGCAATCACTCGATGTGTCTCTTTCATGTTGACGTTTTTCTCTCTCTCTACCTCCTTCGCTCCCTCCCACTCTAACTGAAGATAAGTGCAAAATAAATAAATAAATACTTTTTCTTTATTGATTTTAGAGAGAGAGGAAGGGAGAAGGAGAGACAGAAATATCAGTGAGAGAGAACATCGATTGGCTGTCTCTTGCACACCCCAACTGGGGATGGGTCCACAACCTGGGCATGTGCTCTGACTGGGAATCGAACCAATGACCTTTCGGTGCAACCACTGAGCAACACTGGCCGGGTGGAATATTTTTCTTTTTTTGGTACGTGCCTCTAGTGGGAACCGAACCCAGGACTCTCTGGTCCGCAGGCCAACGCTCTAACTGCTGAGCCAAACCAGCCAGGGCAATATTTCTTGTTTTGAAAACATTTTTTATTGATTGATTTTAGAGAGAGAAGGGAGAGAAAGAGAGAGGAAAAAATGCTGATTTTTTGTTTAGCTTATTTATGTATTCATTGGTTGATTCTCGTATGTGCCCTAACTGGGGATGAACCTGCAACCATGGTGTATTGGGACTATGCTCTATCCCACTGAGCTACTCGGCCAGGGTGGATTATTTCTCCATTTATTTAGTATTTTAAAGATTTCTTTCGTCAGAGTTTATAGTTTTCCTAATGTAAAACTTGTACATGTTTTGATTTATACCAAAGTACTTATTTTAGGGGGGTGCTAAGTAAATGGTATTGTGTCTTTAATTTCAAATTCCACTTTTTAATTGCTGGTGTATAGGAAAGTGATTGGTGCCCTGGCCGGTTTTGCTCAGTGGTTAGAGTGTCGGTCTGCCATCTGGAGAGACCCGGGTTTGGTTCCTGCTAAGGGCACGTACCTCGGTTGCAATTTGTCCTCAGCCCTGGTTGGGTTGTGTGGGTGGTGACGACTCTATGTGTCTCTTTCACATCGATGTTTCATTCTCTCCCCCTCCTACTCTATCTGAGCAAAATATCGAAAAATGTCCTCGGGTGAGGGTAAAAAAAAAGAAAAAAAGTGATTGACTTTTGTATATTAACTTTGTGTCTTGCAATGCTGCTATAATGGCTTAGTAGTTCCAGGAGGTTCTTTGGTTAATTTTTAAAAGTTTTCTACGTATGCCCGGCTGGTGTGGCTCGGTGGATTGAGCGTCATCCCATACACTGAGAGGTCCCGGTTCGATTCCCGGTCAGGGTACATGCCTGAGTTTTGAGCTCCATCCCTGGTGGGGGGTATGTAGGAGGCAGCCGATCGATGTTTCTCGTTTTCTCCCTTTTCCCCTCTCTAAAAAATCAATAAAAACATATTTTAAAAATTTTCTATATAAACAACCATATCATCTATGAACAGTTTTATTTCTTCCTTCTTAATCTGTATCTCTTCCCTTTTCTTGTCTTATTGATTAGCTAGACCTTCCAGTAGGAACTGGAAAGGAGTGGTGAGAGGGGACTCCTTGCCTTGTTCCTGATCTTAATGGGAAAGCTTCAAGTTTCTCACCATTAAGTATGCTGTAGTGTTTTTTGGGTAGATGATCTTTATCAAGTTGAGTAAATTTACCTATATTTCTAGATTACTGACTTTTACCATGTTTTATTATTATTATTGCAGTAAAAATACACATAACTTGATTTTTAGAGAGAGAGGAAGAGGTTGAGAGAGAAACATCGATTGGCTGCCTCCTGCACAGCTTCTGCTGAAATCAAGCCCACAACCTGGGCATGTGCCCTGACCAGTAATTGAACCAGCCACCTCTTGGTTCATGGGTTGATGCTCAACCAATGAGCCACAATGGCCAGGCTGCATTCTATTTTTTTGGTTTTAATCTGCACCAGAGGATATTTTTACATTTATCTTCAGATAGAGCTGGAGGGAGAGAGGAAGAGAAAGGATGTGAGATAGACACATCAATTGGTTGCCACCCGCACAACCCCAACTGGGACCGGGGATGAACCACAACCGAGATATGTGCCATTGGCTGGAATTGAACCCGGGACTCTGGTCCACGGGCAACACTCTTACCACTGAGCCATACCGGCCAGGGTGGAAAATTCCAGAAATAAACAAAACATGGTATGAATGGGTCTAACATGGCATCTCACTCTTGCTTGGCATCATCCTGATTATGAATGAGATTGAGTGAATGTGTCTTCATCATTATTGGCCATAAATGTCTTCTCTTCTATAAATGTGCATTGTGTCATTTTTCTTTAGGTTGGTTGTCCTTTATAAAAAAAATCCCCCCCCCCCCTTTATTGACTTTAGAGAAAGGGAGAGGGAGATAGAGCATCAGTTGGCCGCCTCCTGCATGCCCCCCACTTGGGATTGGGCCCACAATCTGGGCATGTGTCTTGACCTGGAATCAAACCGGCAACCTCTTGGTGCATGGGTTGATGCTCAATCACTGAGCCACACTGGTCAAACAGTTGTCCTTTATTGATTTGTAGGCGTATTAGGGAGATCTAGGTGTGTTTTTGATAAAGAGGAAATGCTTTGTCCTCCTAGTTTACTATCCAGTTTCCCTCAATGGGATGTGCCATAGCAGCTCCATATTCCCTGCAAATCTTACCACCAGAGGGCACTGTTGCTGTCACTTTTGCCAGGATAACTGGTGAGAAGCAGAATTTCATACTTTTTCATTTACACTTTTGAAAAAATGTTGAGCATCGCTTTTATTTGCTTCAAGGCTAATTGCATCTTCCCCCTCAGAGTAACCTGTTTATCTCCCCATGCCTCCCTCCTCTCAGGATCTGCTTTTCTCTCTTAACATTCTCACATTTCTATTTGATAACCCTTTTATACCCATTTCTCAATCTTCTCTCTTTCTTCCTCCTGGTCCTTTCACCTTCTCACAAAGCCTTCTTTCTGACACTTCATCCTGTCTCAAAGCTCTGGGTCAGCTGTCTCTCAGCTCTCAGTCTATTTTCTCCCCAGTGCCTCTTTCCCTCCCATCACCCCAATGTCCCTTCTTTCTCTTTTCCTGTTTGCTTCTTGTTCCCATACCATCTGCCACTCTCCTCTCTGCTATCTGTTCTTCCCTCTCCTCTTTCTAGTCTCTCATTCCAGCATCTTGAACACCTTTCTCCTGAATTTCTTTCTCTTCCCTCCATCTTCTCAGTGGAGAAAAAGCAGAGACCTTTCTCCTCTCTGCCATATATCCCCACTGCCATTCTCTCGTTTGTTTGCACAAAAGACAAGACCTGTACCCTTTCTATTGCCTGTCTTCTGCCTTCCCTCTTGTGTCCGTCAGCTCAGTCTTGACTCAGGTGTCTTCTCTCACCTCTCCTGTCCCTCTTCCACTGCCACCTCTCCTAGCCATTTCTTCTCTCAGATCTGTTCCTCTTTGACCTTGTTTTTCTCTCAATGATTTGTCCTGTCTCTAACACATTTCCTCTCCCCCTGTCCCCAAGAATGTCTCATCCTCTGCCATTTCCTATGACTCACCTTTTTGTTGTTCCACTGAAGGCAGTGTGTTCTGGCCCTGCACGGGAACTTGTGGCTGTGATTTCTGGGGTATGGGACATAGTCCCTTAGCCTGTCTCAGCTGGGAGAGATACCTTCCTGCAGAGCTCAGAGAAAGTGACCTCACCCAGGCTGGCCCTTGGGAAGCCTGTGGAAATTCCTACTCATGGGCTCTATTTCCCTGTCTCCAGCGAAGCCAGGGGGCCATGAGGGTGGGGTTCTGCCAGCATTGAGCAAGGGTTGCAATAGCCACGAGCCTCCCCTTTGCCCTTTTGCTTGTCCTTTGATCTGTGACCAGTGGCAAAATCAGGTGTCAGCTGGGTCTATGAGTAGCTGCCTGAGACTGCCCTGGAGTGGAAGGAGTCTCCACATGCTGCTTGCTGTCTGGGTCCCCTGGGACTGGGCATGTGTCTTGGGGTGGCAGTGAGTGTCCTATCAGTGGGGTATGTAAACAGAGTCCTGGCTTCCTTGGGGCCTCTGAGGAGCTGTGACAGGAATACAAACTCTAAGGTAGAGAATTTGGCTTTGTTCACGTTTTATTGTACTTGTTTCAGCCTGGGGCTCTTTAGTCCCCAGGCTATAGCCTGGTGGTGGCTCGGTGAGCTTTAGCATCCTTCTGCTGCCCACACCCAGTTCTGTCTAGTGGCCTAAGGGAAGGTGAGAAGGTAGGCAGAAGAAAAGGGCTGGAGACAGATCATCAGCGCCCCCTACCCTGGGGTGGGGCCTTCCCTGTCTCCACAGAGCTGGCCCAAGGGCCGCCAGTCTAGCTACCCCACAAACCCTAGGTACTAGGGGCAACCCTTCACAGCCAGTCACCAGCCAGCTATGTGGCCAACATGTGCCCATTGGCCAGCCACCCAGCTGCCCGGCTCCGAGGGCCATCAGTGGGGGATTCCTGGGGGACTTGAGCTGCCCCATTCTTGAGCTGGGGCTGCTTCTGGGCTTCCTCCTCTTCACTTGAGGCTGACTCCTCCACGTCACTGCGAATGTCTTTCTCCATCTGGGGAACAAGGAGTGGGCACAAGGCTGGGGCTGGGCTAGGGCTCCAGGGTGGCACATAGGAGCCCAACCTAGCTCGGCCCTACCTGGCCTTTCTTTGTGAAACTGTGGATCATACGAAGGACGAGACAAGCCCAGAACACGTGCAGCAGCTGCAGCATCACCAGAAGTGAGTTGAAGAAGTAATAGCCAAAGAAGGGGCTTGAGTTGGCGATGGACTCGTAGTATGTGGTATAGAGGATCCTGAGGCAGGCAGGTGGGCAGGCAGAATGAAGAGGTGGACTTCAGCAGCTCTAGCCCCCAGTGCTAAGAAGTGCTAACTTGTGTGACTTTCCCTACTCCAGAGCCTTTGATGGTTTCCTGTTGCCCTCAGAGTAGTAATACCTATGCTTTTCAGCTGGGTATTTAAGTGCCTCTTCTCACTTGGTTATGTTGAATGAGTAGGTCACACAAGCTTGCCAAATGGCCTGTGCACAACCATGAACCCCAAGGAAGCATGTAGTATTCCCATTGTTCTCCTGGGTGGTCCTTTCATGCCTTTCCTTTTCTCAGGCCCTCTTCTCCCCTAACTCAGAAAGCTTTCACCCTACCTTTCCTCACCCAGATCAGCTTTCCTCATGTGCCTTCAGAAACCCACTCTGGTCTCCCCACTTTATGGCTGCTCCCCCTGAATCTCTGCTGCAGGCTCCTGACATGCAAACATCAGGGGCTCAGGGACTGGGCCCCTCTGTCCATACCTGGTCCCTGGATGACCCTGTCCAGTCTCATGCCTGCAAACACTGAACATTCACATCTCTCCAAGTTGGTGTGCCCACTGTTTCCTCTATAACTTTTCCTGGGGGACCTGGAGGCCCCTCAAACCCAGCATAGCCAGAGCTGAGCTCCTGATCCTCTATGGACATAATCATCTCATGACCCTTGAGTCATCCCTGGTCCATCTACCCACTTTCTCTCATCTGCATTGGTCCAGTCTCATTATCACTCACCTGGACCAGGGCAGTGGCCTCTGCTCTGGCCACCTAGCTCATGGACCAGGGTTAGGGAAGGGGGTAGGAGTGTTGTTTTAGGGGCTCTCACCAGCTGTTCTCTCTGCAGTCACCAGAAGGCGCCTGTGAGCACCCGAGTCAGGTCCCCTCCCTCCTCTACTCAGAATCCTTCACTTCGCTTGGGATAAAAACCAGTCTTCCCACCTGGCTCTGTGGATTGAGCATGGTCCCATGGACTGAGAGGTCCTGGTTCGATTCCGGGTCAGGGTACATGCCCGGGTTGTGTGCTCAATCCCCATGCAGGAGGCAGCTGATCTATGTTTCTCTTTCACATCGATGTTTCCATCTCTCTCTCCAAAAAAAAGAAAAATCAGTCTTCCCTATAGTCCATAAGGCCCTGCACAACCTGTCTAGTCCCCTCCCTGTCCTCACATCCACTCTCATCCTCCCTTAGCTCACTCTGCTCCTGCCATAACGACCTCCTTGCTGTTCTTCTACCATGCCAGGCACAGTCCAGCCTCAGGACTCACCTCACTCCAGTCTTTCTGTATGAATACTGTCAGTGACACCTTCCCTGACCATCCTGTGCAATTCCCACTACCTACACACTTCCTATACCTGACTTCATTTTCTCTTTAACACGATCACTACTCCCTCACATGCTCTATATTCTACTTGTTTGCTTATTTATTTTATCCCCCCAATGTCAGCTCCATGTAAGCAGAGATCTTTATACTGCTCCCTCTGCTGTGAGAATCTTAGCCAGTATACTGGGCAAAGACTTTCGTGAGCTGGTGACCGAACCTGCCATCCATTCCGTGTTCCAGGCACCTAAGGGAATGAGAACTGAGCCCAGTTTTCTGTCTCTTTCACCTCTGGCCCTTACCATGTGCTGTGTCTTGGGCTGGGAACACAATACCCTCTTTGTCTTCTCCTGGAAGCCTCCCAGCCAACACCCCCTGTTCCATGGGTCTGAAACCAAGGGTGAGGCAGGCCTGGATCCCAGCTGTGCCCACCAACCTCCCCAGCCCTCCACTAGAGGGCTGACTCACTGGGTAGGGAAGAGCACAAGGCGAGTGTAGAAGAAAACCAAGGAGAAGATGATGAAGAGAGAATTGCACACTCGCCGCTGGTGCGCATAGTTGAACATCTTACAGGCCTGGGGAAAACAGCAGAGAGAGGACTCAGGTGGGTGGTAGTGGTGGGGAGCCATGTAGTAAGGGGTGGGGCCTCTTCTCAAGGAAAAGGCACCATGGGGGCAGAGCCTTATCTCCAGAAACTGCCTAGAAAGTTACAAAGTGGATCTCTGAGTGAGAAGGTTCAACTACCTGAAAGAGAAGAGAGGGCAGGGCCTCACCTTCTAGGAATCTTAGGGGTCAGGAACTCATCTCCCAGGAAGCCTGAATAGGGCGAGGTCTCCTCTTCTAGAAAAGCTGAGGGGGTGGGGCCTCACCTCACTGGAAGACTGAGGGGCAGGGCATCATCTCCAGGGGCACCTGGGAGTGTGGGGGAGGAGGGCCGTTCAGAGGGGTGGGCTGGGCCCACCTCCAGCAGGTAGTCTGTGGAGTCATGCAGTAGCAGCACCAGAGAGCCAATGCGCAGCAGGTTTGCGCTGTAGGAGAAGGCGATGAGGGTGATCGTCACGAGGTGGTGCGCCACCTGTTCCTTGAAATCCTGCGAGAGACGTTGGGTCATACCTGGGGCAAGGCTGCGTGGCCTGAGGTGGGGTGGTGGGGTGGTGGTAGGTACCACACTTCCTGCCTGAGGTGCCAGAGGATTTCCAGGTGTGGGGTGAAGCCATCCTTCCCCACTGAAACTGGATCCTGATTCCCCCAGGACATCACTTCCCCAGCTGAATCCTGGCCTGTCCTCACCTTGCGCCTGATGTCGAAGGGCAATGTAATCAGTAGTGAGATGTAGAAACTCAGCTCAAGGAGGTACCAATAGTACAGGGCTGGCTTCAGGGGCTGTGGTAGGGAGGTAGGACAAGGCTATTAGCTGAGGGAGAGTGGAAACTCCCTCTGGGCCCTCACCTATTTGTTCAAAACCAGGACATTTGAATCCCAATGAGGGAAGCTGTGAGCTCCTTATCCCTGGAGGTAACCAAGGGCAGTGGTTTTGAGTCAGCTCCTGCTCCAAGTTTCCTGATTCCTAGCCCCTCTCCATCCCGCAGGGGAGGCAGAAACAGGTAGTGGGACTTGGAGGGGATTATACTCTCATGTCCAGGTAAGGCTCTACTGCCTTTGGCCATAGGAACTCTCACCACCCCAATCCTTCCTCCAGCCCCCTGGCACTCACCTGGTTTGGGTAATTGTCCCAGCACATTGCTGGTCTCCACAGCCATGACTCCTGGGGGATGGGGGAAACAGGCATCTGAGGCTGCCCAAAGATCTGACCCCAGACCCCCATCCCAGGCCTGGGACCTCCTTGGGCCTCCCCTGGTCCTTGCTGTCACTCAGCTCTGATTTTTAAAAAAATATTTTTATTATTTTTAGAAAGAGAAGGGGAAGAGAAAGAGAAACATAGACATAAGGATGGAATATGGATCAGCTGCCTCTGGCATGCCTCTTGCTGGGGATTGAGCCCACAACTCGGGCATGTGCTCTGACTAGGAATCGAACCAGCAACTTCTTGATGCATGGGATGACACCCAACCAACTGAACCACACTGGCCTGGCTACTGAGCTCTGATCTTTCCCACCTGGTTACATCTCTGCTCTCACTCTAGACCAGGGGCTCATTCACTGCCAGATCCCCAGGCCCAACCAACTGTAGATCCCAACAGGCTCCTGTTGAGGGAACATCTGCCAGGACTTTGCCAAATTCTCTCTCCCTTCTCTGTGCACATGCTTTTCCCTCTGCCCATACCCCTCCACATACCCCCTAACCCCCAAGCCAGGTCCAGTGTATAGTAGATGCTTGTGGGACAGGTCGAGGGGCCAGGAAGCAGTCAAGAACACTCACGTGGTAGAGGACCAAGAGGCCACCAAAGAAGGAGCACAGATAGAAGACAAACCTCCAGCTGCAGACAGGGAGGGAGTCCATCAGGCAGCTGCTGACAGAGCAGCCCCTCCCCACTTCCCCCACATCCCCTCCCCAGCCTCACCCCAAGCTGACCTGGCTTCACAGAACTTCTTAGTCAGGCAAGGCCGGTCCTGGTTCCGGCGTCTTCGGAACCAGCATTGAGTCTGCCGCAGCGTGAGACCACACTGTGTGGCCAGGACAGCTATCTGAGGCTAGGGAAAGGGTGATGGGGGCTAGGGTCACAGAGATGGCTTCCCACTCCTGTCCCAGGACAGGCGGAACCCAACTCTGCTACCTCTTGCAGTCCCAGACCTCACCTGTGGGGTTGTCTACCTATAGAGATAGAGGAGTAGTGGGATATGGGGTAGGGCCCCCCAAAACAGTCAGCCTATGAGAACCCAGCCCTGCTCACAGGACAGGCAGATGACTGATGAGGACTGGGGGCCCTGGCCGGTTTGGCTCAGCAGTTACAGTGTTGGCCCGCAGACCAAAGAGTCACGGGTTCAATTCCAATCAAGGGCACCTACTTCAGTTGTGGTTTGGTCCCCGGCCCTGGTCAGCGTTGTGCGGGAGGCGACCAACTGGTGTCTCTCTCACATTGATGTCTCTGTCTCTCTTTCTCCCTCCCACTCTATCTGAAGATAAATGGAAAAATGTCCCCAGGTGAGGATTAAAGAAAAAATAATAAGAAAAAGAAAAAGGGACTGGGGGATAGGAGCAACTCCCCACAGAGGTTTTCCTGTATCCCCTCTTGAACAGTACATTCTCAACCCTACTCTAGGCAGGCAGTTGAGACCTTGTCCTGACTCCTACCTGCAGAGGGATACTGAAAAGGGACAGGGGTCACAAGGCTCTCTATTCTGCAGGAGCTGCCCTCGCCCCCAGAGTAGGAAGACCTTTCCCTTCCCTCTTCCCCCTCAGGACCCAGCTCAGACCCTGCCCACCAGGCAGCTACACAATGGACAGGAATTGAGGGAGGGTCCCATGGTTGCAGAACTCCCAGAATAGTCAGCCCTTCCACTTTTCCCCAGGACAGAAACACATTCCCCTCACCCTCTCCAGTCTCAGGAGCTGCCCACTGGTCAGCTGGGCTCCATGATAAGGGACTGAGTGGAGTGGGGGCAGGTGAGGCACTGTGTGGGGAAGCATAGGCTGCCCTGGGCTTTCTCTGTCCCCAACAAGTGGGTCACATACCATCGCCAAGCCCCATCCACACAGCAGCCATGCAGGCAGATAGGGTTGGAAGAAGGTAGCAGGGGCCCTCACCTTGTTGGGTCTCCATCCTTCCATGAGGAAGTGTTTCTCCAGTGTGGCGTTGGGTTTCACCAGCTTCCTGGCCTGATCCTGCACACCCAGCCACCGGCTCAGGGGCAGGCCGACAAATCTGGATGCAGGGGATACAGGGCTTGTCAGTCCAGGTGAGAAGGGACGAACATGCCACTGGCAGGGAAACTGTGGTTCAGAAGGACCAGGTCAGCCCTGACCGGTTTGGTTCAGCGGTTAGAGCGCCCGCCTGCGGTCCGGAGAGACCCGGGTTCGGTTCCCACTAAGGGCATGTACCTTGGTTGCAGTTTGTCCCCGGCCCTGGTTGGTCGTGTGGGTGGCAGCCACTCGATGTGTCCCTTTCACATCGATGTTTCTCTCTCTCTCTCTTCCTCTCTCCCTCCCACTCTGTACAAAAAATGGAAAAATGTCCTCGGGTGAGGATAAAAAAAAAAAAAAAAAAAAAAACAGAAGGACCAGGTCATACCCTGGGACCCTGTAGGATGTCTAGCTGCTGCATTAAACTTAACATAGGAAAGGTAGCTGGACTGGGGTTAAGAATTGGGGTGTGAAGGTCAATTTTTGGGGTACCTAATCACCTTCATTTAATCTAATCCCAAACTACAGGTCAGAGTCCCTGTCTGATGGTGGCCTGTGTCCTGTTTTGGCTCCATCAGGCTAGAGCACTCTACCAGCAGAAGCAGGTCTGCTCCTTCCCTCTCAGGTCTCCCCTATTCCACTCTCCCCCACTCCAGAGTGGACACCTGAAAGATCTGGACTCCTCTCAGTCACCCACAAAGGGGCTCCCAAGGCCAGGGGGTCAGGACCAAATTTCCTTTCTATCATTCCAATAATGAGGCTTCATTTGGGGAAAATGAGGCTCAGTGCAGCCTTGCAAGAAATTCATCCCAGACCCCATCGTGATGGGAGAATGGCACGCACCGACATTTGTTGAGTGCTTACAATCTGTCAGGCATTATGCACTTAACCCTATTATCATCATCCCCACTGTGCCGATGGGCAAAGGCTTAGAGAGATCAGAAATGTGCCCAAGGTAACACAGTGAGTGGTGGACCTGGAATTCAAACCCAGGATTCACTTTCCCTTAATAAGGAGGAAAACCCCTGCCTTCCACCCTGAAAAACTCCTGCCACCCTCTCTGCCCTTTGGCAGCAATTGATGTCTTTGGGATGTGGTAACATCTTTCACCTCAGAAGTGAACCTGGGCACATCCCCTCCAAAGCTCCCCACCTCTGTGGGAAAGAAGACCCACCCATCAAGGCCTGGCTAATTGGACCTCCCAGAATCCCTCAGGTGAAAGCCTCAGTCTCTGTAAGCCTACCCACTATGTGACCTCAAGTAGGTCTCCTGACTTCTCTGTGCCTCCGTTTCTTCTTCTGTAAGGTGGGGATGATAATAACAGTATTGCTTCTCAGAGTTGCACTGAGGGCAAAGTGGGTTATGACACATCAACTTCTTAGAGCAGTGGTTGGCACAAAGAAGTACTCAAAGGGTGCCTGTTAAATAAATATGTCAGTGGATGTTCCCTGGGTCTCGTGTCTAAAGAGCGCATTACTGGAGAGCTCCTAATGAGTGGAAGAGACAAAGCAAGATGCAGAACACTTCCATATCCCTGTGGTCAAGGCAAGACAGAGGTGGAGACCCAAAGTGGCTGAAGTGGCTCTGTGGGGGGAGGGGCAGAGCAGGCTTCCAGGGAACCTAGCCTTAAAGGAGCTGCAGGGAGTGTGTGCAAAGGCCAGATGGCCACAAAGAAGATGGCAAACCAGGAATGGATGTGAGGAGTACAGGAAGAAATGCATGTAAAGAAAGGAGAGGGAGAGGGGTCCTCAGCATTAAAGGAGCCTTGGGGGTGGGGGTCAGTGGGGAGGCTGGCAGGATAGGGGCCTGATAAGACAGGTCTAGGAGCTGTGATCATAGCATTGGTCACATGGAAAAAGGTGGGACTACCTGGGACAGGGGAGAGAACCTAGGAGAGATGCCCATGCCCAGGAGGACACCCAGATAAAGAGGAAGAAACCCAGTTCTGAGCAATGTCTGGGTCACCTGAGAAATGATTGAGAATCCACAGGGTTTGGCAACCAGTAGGTTGCTGGGAGGGCTGCTGGCATATACTCAGGGGCTGGTGCCAGGCTGCAGGAGTATAGCAAGTGCCTATACTCCTTCCTTTGGCTAAAAAGGGCACTGGGAGTATTACTGGAAAGAGGACCTGGCCCTGAGTGGGTCTGCCTTGGGCCAGCTGGTAGTGTGTGGGTTCTTGACTTCAATAAGGAAAAGCTTCACAACATGAGTCCAGGTGAATTTTTGGAGATGTTTAGCAAAGCTGGGGACAGAGAAACAAGGGCCTAGGACAGAAGAAGCAACAGGAGAGGGACTAGGTGGGGAAATGAGCTGTGATGGGGCTGCATTGGCTCAGTAAGATGTTAGAGAAAGAGGGGCCTTGGGGACAAGTTTAGGGGGTTTGTCTGGGGTGAACTGTTGCTGCCCATTGCTGGCCTGGTTGTAAGCCTCATGGGGTCCCATAGCATTTAAGAGATGCCTGTGGGGGAGCCTTGGGCATGGCGATGGGCTTTCATTTTGACGGGTCTTAAAGGCTGGGCATTTAGGGGAGGATCAACAGAATATTTAATAGCTTTATGCTGATATACCAAAATGAGGCTTATTCTCTTAACTTCATCTGTTTTTAGGTGTGGTTGGCAAATGGCACTAATTGGATTTTACTGTTTGTCTCCCTGAGTAGGGTGATTTAAGCTATCTACCCTCTGGTTGGGGAGAAGTACAAACCATTTACTCTCCATTGTTCCCGGTTTAGGGAAGATAGGATTTACTAGATGGCTGCAAACTGCTGTTTAACTGTCTGTCTCAGGAGGAAAGGTGATAGGAACAATAGGGAATGAGAGATAAGTGATAAGGGTGAGGGACTGGCTTGCCTATAGAGGAAGGGGAGGAGGGAGTGGACAGGAGTTTTTCTGCTTACTGACTGACTGGCCTCTGCAGACCTGTCTTCAGTCAGCAAAATGCCCTCCAGGTTCCCACATGTTTTCTGAAGATGCTGGCATACCTGGACTACAACTGCAGCCAGTGTTCCGATAAAACAGCCATCAAAGACCAGAAGAAATGTGAGTGGTGGCAGCTAGGAGCAGGATGGAGGAGGGCATAATTTGATTCAAGGCCAAAGAGATTAGGACAAAACCATGCACAAGGTGGCAGCACAGGGCCAGCACCACACAAACCAGCCACGACAGATACCTACCTCTCGAAGGTGAAACGTATAGCTACCAGGGCTAGTGCCAGGGGCAGGGCCACCAGCATGTCCTGGGGGTGTGCAAAAACCAGGCCTTCCCGGTCCTCCAGTTCAGTCCATGAGTTATTGGGTGGTAGCCAGAACCTGTCCTGCCACAGCCACTCGTTCAGACTGGACCACATCCTGTGGACAGACAGTCCTGTTAAAGGCGAGCTCAGCGTGCAGGATGGGTGAAGCTGGAGAGCCCATCATCACCCAGCCCTCATTCCCCCAGCATCTGGCAACCTGGAGTTTATTACAGCAGGTGTTAAGGATAAATTTGGGCTGTGTATCTTTAGGCAAATAACTTGATCTCTCTGAACCTCAAATTTATCTGTAACACAGGGACCTCTCTGCTCAGCCTGGTTAGGTACACAAAGTGCTTAGCCTGGCGCTTACTGACCCTTAACAACACAGCTTATGACTGCAATTATTCTGCACTTTATAGAGAAGAAAATGATGGCCAGAAGTCAAGGGAGTGCCTGAGTAGGGTCATGACCTTGAGTTCTCAAATGTCCAGGAAGGTTTCCTGCCACTGCAGGAAGGTGCCTTGGATGCAGTCCAAAGACCAAGATTTTAAGAAAATCTGTCATTCTCTCCCTAGCTACCCTTCCCAATGTGGACTACCCATGAGGTATGAATGTCAGCTGTCTCGCTTGCTATCCCAAACCATGGACAGCAGCTGAGCAAGAGAACCAATGGAAACACCAAACTTCCTGGATAATGGAGCAGTAACTAAGGTGAGCAAGTTTTCCACCAAGAACTCTCAGGGGACCAGCCCCTATCTGTAGAGCCCAACCATCTTGAGTAGCCCACAGTTCTCCCTTTCTCAAGATCTTAAGACAAATGCCCTGACCCTCACACTGATTCCCACTTGGAATGTTTGTTTACTCATTTTGTCCATCCATCTATCTGTCCGTCTGTCCATCCATCCATTCATCTATCTATCCCTCTGTCCATCTACACATCGGTCTACCTATCCACCCATCCACAAGATATTCTTTGATTGACTTGTACATGCCATCCCAGGCTGGATATTGAGGACACAGCTGGGAACAGAGCAGACACATTCCTGTCTCCAGTTCAGCAGGGGAGGAAGCCAATATGCAAATAAACAGATTAATTAATAAACAAAATAAGAGTGTGATGGGGTCTGATAGAAAATAAACAGGGTGGCATTGATTTTAAATAAGGTGACCAAGGCAGAAGGTCTAAGGAGAAACCATTTGAGCTGAGATCTAGAGAAAAGGAGGGCCTGGGTTTACACTGAGGGTAGTGGTGGTATAGAGGGGCTTCCCAGAGAAATAAATAGCATGTGCAAAGGCCCTGATTTAGTTTCCCACACAGAGTACTGGTGGATTGGTAAGGAGCCTTGTGTGGCTGGAGCAGTTTGAGTGAGGAAGAAAGGGGGAAGGTAAGAGCAGGAAGGGAATTGGTCAGGTCATGTAGGACCTGTGAGCTGTGAGCAAGAATTTAGATGATTTCCTAACAGAAAAGTTAAAAAGAATTTACAGAGAGCCCTGGTTGGTGTGGCTCAGTTGGTTAGGCTTCATCCAGTGCACTGAATGTCTGTTGGTTCAATTCCCAGTCAGTACACATGCCCAGGTTACAGCTCCATCCCTGGCAGGGGTCATGCAGGAAACAGCTGATTGATGCTTGGCTCTCTCACATTGATGTTTCTCTCTCTCCCTCTCCCTAAAAATCAATAGGAAATCTAAAAAAAAAAAAAAAAAAAAAAAAAAGGACTTACAGTTAACACCTATATATCTACTGCTCAATTCTACCATTCATACTTTGCTCCATTTGCTTCATCACACACCTGCCCAACCATCCCTTTTTCCACCTATCAGTCCAAGTTTTCTGGATGCATTTCAAAAGCAGCAGCAGACACAAGCCACATTATCCCTAAATAATTTAGCATGCAAATCATAACTAGGGTTCAATATTTGCTTATGGGTTTTTTTTTTTGTTGTTGTTTTGTTTTGTTTTTTCAAGGTGAATGTTACTAGAGCAAAATGCATCAATCTTAAGTATATAGTCGCTCAGTTTTGGCAAATGCATGTACCTGTGCAACCCAGCCTCTTACCACAAACATTCTTATTTTTCCACAAAGTTCTCTTGTGCCCTTCCCCAGTCAATCTCCATCTCTGCCATTCAAAGGTCACCACTGTTCCAATTGTTTTCCCCATTTGCATTAGGGTGAAGGTGTCTGCCAGATGGATGAGAGGGCCCCTGAGGACGAGTCTCTTTTATCTGTTTTAGAATTTCACATAAATGAAACCACAGACTCCATCTTTGTGTCTGGCTGCTTTTACTCCATGCCATGTTTTTGAGACTCATTCAAATTGTTACATTTAACGTAGTGGCTTTCCTTTTTAATATGGCACTGTCGGTACCAGAGGCATGTAACACAATTGGTTATCATCTGCTTGTTTACGGAAATTCGGGATGCTTTCAGTTTGGGTAATTGTGAACAAAGCTGTTATTATGAACGTTCACATTCTAGTCTTGTGTGTATAAAAGTCTGCATGTCTTTTTTTTTTTTTTTTAATTTTTTTCTTTATTGATTTTAGAGAGAGGGAGAGGGAAAGAGAGATAGAAACATCTATGAGAGAGAACATCGACTGGCCACCTCCTAGACATGCCTACATGCCTTGGCTCGCAGCCCCTTCCTCTACCTTCCAAGCCAGGAAGGTAATACAATCTTCAAATCTCTCTCTTATCCTCCTGCTCTGCTCTTATAAGGACCCCCAATATTACTTTAAGCCCCATATGGTAGTCCAGGGTCATCTCCCATCTCAAGGTTAACCTGTTATCAACCTTAATTCCTTCTGCAAGCTCAATTTCCCTTTGCCATGTGACGTGACATTTTCCCAGGTCCTGGGATTAGCATGTGGACTTTTTTTTTTTTACTCATCTTTATTGTTGAATGTATTACAGATGTTTCTCCCTTTTTTCCCCATTGACCCCTCCTCCCCATTCCCACCCCCTCCTGCCTTCCCCACTCTATTGTCGATGTCCATTGGTTATGCATATATGCATAGAAGTTCTTTGGTTTGTCTCATCCCATACTCTCTCCCCCTTTCCCTTTGAGGTTCATCAGTCTAACAACCAATTTTGTACTTCTTTTTTTTTTTTTTTATCCTCACCCGAGGATATTTTTCCATTTTTTTGTACAGATAGAGTGGGAGGGAGAGAGAAGAAGGGAGAGAGAGAAACAGTGACATGAAGGGACACATCTAGTGGCTGCCACCCACATGACCAACCAGGGCCGGGGACAAACTGCAACCGAAGTACGTGCCCTTAGCGGGAACCGAACCCGGGTCTCTCCGGACCGCAGGCAGACGCTCTAATCACTGAGCCAAACTGGCCAGGGCAATTTTGTACTTCTTAATTCCTTCATCTTTTTCACCCAGCCCCCACCCATCTAGAAAGCAACAAAAAGTTCTCTGTATCTATGAGTTTGTTTCTGTTTTGCTTGCTCATTGTTTGTGGATTCAATTGTTGATAGATATATATTTTTTGCCATTTTATTGTTCATATTTTTGTTCTTCTTCACTTTTAAGAAGACCCTTCAACATTTCATATAATACTTGTTTGATGGTGATGAATTCCTTTAGCTTTATCTTATCTGGGAAACTCTTGATATGTCCATTGATTCTAAATGATAGCTTTGCAGGATAGAGTAATCGTGGTTGTAGGTCATTGCTTTTCATCATCTTGAATATCTCTCGCCACTCCTTTCTGGTCTGCAAAGTTTCTTTTGAGAAATCAGCTGTCTTACTGGAGCTCCTTTGTAGGTAACGAACTGCTTTTCTCTCTGGCCCTGGCCGGTTTGGCTCAGCGGTTGGAGCGTCAGCCTGCGGTCCGGAGAGACCCGGGTTCGGTTCCCGCTAAGGGCATGTACCTCGGTTGCAGTTTGTCCCCGGCCCGGGTTGGTTGTGCGGGTGGCAGCCACTCGATGTGTCCCTTTCACATCGATGTTTCTGTCACTCTCTCTCTCCCTCCCACTCTATCTGAACAAAAAATGGAAAAAATATCCTTGGGTGAGGAAAAAAAATTCTTTGTATTAAACCTTTGGCATTTTGATGATGATGTATCTTGGTGTGGACCTCTTTGGGTTCAACTTGTTTGGGACTCTCTGTGCTTCCTGGACTTGTATGTCTGTTTCCTTCACCAAGTCAGGAAAGTTTTCTGTCAGTATTATTTCAAATAGTTTTTCAATTTCTTGCTCTCTCTTTTCCTTCTGGGATGTTGGCACGGTTGAAGTTGTCCCAGAGGCTCCTTACACTATCCTCATTTTTTTGGATTCTTTTTTCTTTTTGCTGTTCTAGTTGGGTGTTTTCTGCTTCCTTATACTTCAAATCAATGGTTTGCTTCTTGGCTTTACCTACTTTACTATTGATTCCCTGTAAATTATTCTTTATTTCAGTTAGTGCATCCTTAATTTCTGACTGGCCTTTTATGTGTTTATGTTCTCACTAAGTTCGTCTCCCTAAGTTCCTTGAAGGTCTTACTAAGTCCCTTGGTGTCTCACCAAGTTCCCTGAGCAACCTTATAACCTGTGTTCTGAACTCTGCATCTGTTAGATTGCTTATTTCCATTTTGTTTAGTTCTTTTCCTGGAGTTTTGTTCTTTTTTTTTCATTCGGGACATGTTTCTTTGTCTCCTTATTTTGGCTGCTTCCCTGTGATTGTTTCTACGTAATAGGCAGAGTTGCTATGCCTCGTAGGCTTCATAGGATGGCCTACTGTTGTAGGTGTCCTGTAGAACCCAGTGGCACAGCCTCCCTGATCACCCCAACTGGGCCCTCGCAGTGCACCCCTAGTGTGGACTGTACACTCTTCTCTTGTAATTGAGTTTTGATTGCTATTGGCATGTCAATGGGAGGGATTTACTCAGGTTGGTCAGCTGCAAGAACTGGCTGTGCCCACTAGCCACTACCTTGGAGGATCAGCTGTGTAGGGGCTCACCACACAGAGCCCCTCTGGTACCCACTGGGTCCACTCATTGAGTGTGTCACTTGTGGAGGTGGTTGGGTGGTCTGAAGCTTGTCCACCAGGTGTGCTGGCTCTGGGGCAAGGTCAGCCACTGCCTGTACTCTATCCAGGGCCACCTGGCATAAGCTACAAAGTGAACTGCAG